AGGGAGAGCTTTAATTTTTAAACTCAGTTGAACATCTTAAATTCAATAGATATGTTACTGCCAAACACTCTCTTTTAAAAGAAATGTCATCTAATTACATCTAACATTAAATATATCTTTTAATTGTTCAAGGTAAATAAAATGCCACTGGTAATTACCATGAGAAGTTTTATGAATGTGGTTGGATTACTTTCCAAATTTAATTAAGCTCTGGATTCTCATGTACTCTTCTCTCCTAATGAGTTGGAGCGTTCTCAAGCATATTTCAGGGAATCTCTTGGGCAGAAACACCTTCTAAGAAATCAATGTGGAGCAAAAGGTCCAGAAGTATTTCTGTTTTATTTCCCTTGAAAGATTTAACTGCACTTTTATCATATTTGTTTATTACATTTAATTTGAATGAGAGACATTCAAGAAAAATACCATTAAAATAATTTCCAAAGATAACACCCTTTATACAAAAGAAGAATTATAGATACAGCAGCTAACAATTATTCATAAATGTTTGTGCTGCTGAGTTAAGATGTTTTCTACAATTGAATGGAAAAATGCAACTGGGTACAGAGTGGTTTTTAAAATAAAAAACAAGAAATTAAATTAAGTACAGCAGTGAGCAGAATAACAGCTCCCCAGAGATAGTCACGCCTGATTATAAGAACCCATGAATATGTTTTGTTACACATCAAATTATGGAATTAAGTTTGCAGATGGATTAAGATTGCTAATCTTAAATTTAGTATAAGGAGAGTATCTTTTATTGCTCAGATGGGTCCAGTATACTTACAAGGATCCTTAAATGTTTTGGAAGAGGGAAAAAAAAAGCAGAGTTACAGAGAGATTCGAACGTTATGTTCCCAGCTTTGAAGATGGGGGAAGGAGCCCCCAGTCAAGAAATATAGACAGCTTCCAGAAATTGGGGTAGGTAAGAAAATGGATTCTCCCCTAGAGCCTTCACAGAGGAGCAGAGGCATGCCAATACATTGATTTTAGACCAATGAAACACCCACCCTATGGGACTGTAATACATTTGTGTTGTTTGGGGTTTTGAAGCAGCAATCAAAAACTATTACAAGTACACTCCTAAAATGCAACACTGCACAGTCATTAAAGTAATTTAAGAAGAATGCCTGATTATTTGGAAAATATTTATGGTATATAATTAGGTTATGATAAAATTCCACATATGATAAAAAACAAACAGAAAAAATATGTGTATACATTTTCAGATAAAATCTGAAAGGTACACTATAAAATGTTTCTTATGGTTCTCTATAGATGCTGACATTTATTTCTTTATTTTTATTTTTTATCTTTATTTTCTTATAATTCCCAAGTTTATTTTGTAATCAGAAAAAACTAAACATTGAACATGATCAATGTTAAAACTGGAGATAGGTTACATTATCAATAGCATTTTATGTCCTTTCAGAAACTTTTTTAAGAAAGAAGACCAGCTATAACTAATATAGTAAGCTTCTGTAGGTTAATTTGTGTTCAATTTACTTCACTAAATTTCTGCATCTCAAACATACTTCAAAAGATATGATAATGCCTACCTACTTTACTTTTGAATTTTTTTCTATGAACTACATCTTAAAATGTGGGCCACATAAAATTAGAAAATATTTTTGCCACTGAAAGTTTAATCTTTGAATGATATTTGTGTTTCTGCTCTCAGGATTAATGACAACAGCAGGATAATACCTGTATAGTATCTAGGGCAAAAACCTCAGGTGAGTGAATTTCTCTTTATGGGTTCAACTGGATAATCCCTTTTACTTTTCCTTACAGAATTCAATACTTGTACCCATTGATAAAAAGTATTGTCTTTCCCTTTCATGCTTTAATGTACTTGATATTCATTAGTGGTGGGTTTTATGGTGGCTTTTAACGTTTGTAAATTAAAAGAAGTTAAATCTTACATAGCAGAATATTTAGTCAAATAATTTGATAAGTCACATGCATTTTAAATAAATATGTTTATCTGTACTTATAAAACTCTAAAATTTAGTATAAAAGCTTGTTTCTAAGATGCAGTGTAAAATTTAATGATTTAGTAACTGTGAAGGAGCAGATGACAGTGACTGACAGGGTGGGCTCTGTCATCAGGTGTGTCTGAGTTCAAAGGATGGCTTTGGCTCTCACTGTCTTTGTGTTCTTGATTACTCATTTCCTCTTTTGGAGAAGACTTTGTAAAATGGAGAGAGACTATACTCATCTCAGGTTATTGTGAGAAGTTAAGGAAGCTAAATGCATTTCCTTGTGTAAATAATCATTAAATAATGGATATCATATCTTAAAGTTCTTCTCACAAAGTATTGTTATTTGTACCATACAATTTAAGATTCAGTGACTGTTGGTGCTTATATGTGCTATGGTTATTTCAAGGCATTTGTATAGGTATGATAAAGTAATACATATGTGACAAGAAACTGGTGTTGTATGGAAAGCTGATTGGCAGAAATAACAGAAGCTTCCACTTGATCTCTGTGTTTATGATAGTTTCCTAATTTTTTGTCACCTCACTTGAATGAGAGTATCAACCCTTCATTCAGTTTCTCCAAAATGCTTTACAAAGAAACGTGATCTCTTTATTCTGCTGTGACATAGGGTAAAAAAGACCAGGCTATTTTTCAGATACAAGTAGAGAAAAATGGACTTCATTTTGACCTTGGTACTCACCCAGGAATGATGGGAGTCCCAATATACTCATTTTTTTGAACAAATACACAGAACACAGAAGACTTGGGGTATTTTGTCCTTGGAGAGTGGGTGTGGGAGTTACGATTGAAGATGAAAATGAAATAAAAACAAGAGCATCTTTTTGGAACTCACCTTTGCTGCTCCATTTGCTTAATAACCAATTAAGAATTTTTGATGATGTACCTGCTAAATTCAAGCCTGAGTGTTAATTTGCAAAATAGAAACCCTGTCCAAGCCTTTAAATACTAGTACAGCAAAAGCCAAAGTATAAAACATGCACTTAAAACAAGCATATGCTTTATCTGAGATGTTAAATCAGGAAGGACTAAAAAAAAAAACCAGGTTACTCCTGAACAAAAAAACAAGTAATAAAATATTCAAAAATATTCTCTAATCAGATTTGAATAATCAAATGAAATAGTCTTAGTTTGCTAATTTCCTTACCCCTTCTTAGAATAAATTCTTTATTAGACTGAATGTCGAGACCCTAGGGGATCTTAGGATATTCTTGTGAAATAAGTGTGAGGCCGGGCACAGTGTCTCACACCTGTAATCCCAGCACTTTGGGAGGCCTAGGCAGGTGGATCACAAGGTCAGGAGATTGAGACCATCCTGGCTTACATGGTGAAACCCCGACTCTATTAAAAATACAAAAAAATTAGCCAGACATGATGGGAGCTGACTGTAGTCCCAGGTATTCAGAAGGCTGAGGCAGGAGAATCGCTTGAACCGGGAGACGGAAGTTGCCTGCAGTGAGCTGAGATTGCACCACTGCACTCCAACCTGGGCGATAGAGCAAGACTCTGTCTCATAAAAAAAAAAGAAAAGAAAAGAAAAGAAAGGAAAAGAAAAACAAAAAGTGTTAAATGAAAGTAGAAAATTGCATTTTCTATTTTAAAAGCAAATGGCTAAAAATTAAGCATTATATCCTTCAGAAAGTTTATAAGGTTTGACAATCATTGTTTTAACACAGAAATCTGTTTATTTAACCAAATGAAACAGAGAAAATTATACCAGCCCTCAATTTTTGAATTTTCATTTAAATAAGCAAACTCTAAATCCACATCTTAAAAGATGTTTATGCATCTATGTATTTCCAAAATACTCAGATTTCAATAAGATTTTCACATTATATTCACCAACAGTATCACAAAAGTTTTTTTTGTTTTGTTTTTTGTTTACATAACTGTAAGGAACAGTAATTCTAGAAACACTAGAAGAAAAAAGCATAGCAATGTCCACAGTTACAAGAAAAAGTGCACATTACTTGGTCACAATCACAGTCATTACTTGAAAAACTATATGTAACAAGTAGATGAGAAATATCACTGATGTCTCAAACTCATTGTCAAAAACTGAATGACATAAATTTTACATGAAATAAGGCAAATTCAGAAGTGCACAAAGAATTTGTAATCCAACCAAAGCTAAACAACAGAAAAAAGTTGTACAAGAAGCATAAACTAAAGTACTTCTCCCTAAATATTTTAAAAATAAGCTTGCCTCAGTGCACAGAGAAAACACCACTCATGTGTATCCCACACTATAAAGTAAGAAAGAAGGGCAAAGTATGGGGAATAGGAGGGCACAGTTCATTGTAAGTTGCAGCTGCATCTGCTTAGAGTTCTTTACATTATTTTTAGCTAGAAGTGAAAATTATACAAATCATATCAGGAGACGTAATGGTCTTTTTGGAAACTATTTCCGAAAGAGAGAAATGTAAAGAAAACTACACACAAGAGTGCAAATTTTCAGATTGTCACTTGCAACCTCTTAACATTCAGTCACCTACATCCAGTTGCTGCTAGAGGGATGCCTGGAGACAGCAGCGGCAATCAGGAACGAGCAGCTCTAAGAAACCAAGGTGTGATTTTTTTTCAATAACATGTCTTTTTTAATATTTAAAAAAATTCTGGGATGAAAACTGCTATAGTAAAGTTGCAGTGTTGAGTGGGGTTTTTGAGATCAACATGAGTGCAGAAATGCAGGCTTCTCTTGGAAGTAGTTCCTGATGTGACGGTTTAAAGAACGTAGGCAAGGGTTTTTCCAGCATCAAGTGTTATTTTTGTAGAAAGAATTTGGAAACAGGAGAAGGCAAAGGGATGTGGAAAAGGTACTTACAGTAGTTTCTCAAAACAGTTTTCTTTTAGGACCTATGAAAAAGTTACCAAAGTAAAAATGACAATTTTGAATGAAAAACAATTTTTCTTTTTATAAAAATTACATATTTTTTTAAAATACAAGATCCCTTTCATTGTTGTTATATCCTGTAGCAACAAGAAATTTGGCTTGTTTTGTTTTTTTTTTTGCCAGGTACTTCAGCTTTCAGTTCAATGAGTCAGTAGCAAATTCCACTAATATTTCAGTTGGATCTTGAACTATTGTTTTATACCACAAGCTTCTTCTGTTTTATCCTTGAATTAAGGATAGATAGCCTTTTATGCCCCTGATATTTATGCTGACACACTATGACAAAAAGCAATAGGCTGGACATATTAAACTATCTCAAGTACTTCAGAGGTCAGAGTTCCTTTGAAGCACCTTAACACATCACTTTATGGATCAAGGACAATGTGGCATAATGGAAGTATTTCTCTTAAAAGACTGTGCAGTAAGATCAGAAGTATCTCTGTTGGGAAATCAAAATGTCATTAGTGGAAACTGCAAATTTAGACCTCAGTGAATATGGCTGTCATCTGATTCAGTTCTGTTGTAAAATAAGATTTTCCAGTTCATCTGCAGATCGCAATAAAAATGCAGCAGATTCTCGATATCCTGCAACAAGCTGTCTCACGGCATTGATTTCAGTTGGACTCAGCTGGGGTCTGGAGTTCGAGCTGCTGGAGGATCCTGAGCTAGTCGCCAACTGCCTCTTCATGCTGAGATCAGTGGGTCCTAGAAAGAAATTCATCACAAAATTAGACCCAGATATTATTTGTTGTAGCATCTTGGATGTGAGCGCTCAGTAAATTACAGTTGAATAAATTCATGAATTCTTCCATGAGACGTTCGTAATCTCCTTAATCAAATACATCTGCTTTCAGAAAGATTAAAGAGCAATGCAATCGTAACCAAGTGGCTTCTCTTTGGATTTCTCTCAGATGCCCTAATCAGCCTCTGGAAATCACATCTTACTGTGGAGAGATGGTGAAAAATTGCTTGGAACATGTGTTCTGGGAAAATTAAATTTTAAATCTGTCTTCCATATGTTGTGTAAGCTTCTCATAGTAACATAAAATGATGGAAATTACAAACATTTTTCATCTGTTACATTCACTAATAGGTATCTTAGACCCCATCAATTTGCAATTTAAAACAACTGTGATGCTAATGACTTTAGAGTACAAACTAGTCAGCTCAGCAAAAAGGAAACTAAGGACTAGGGACTTCAGGAGTATGTTTAGAGTTTGACAACTTTTGAGAGGCACAACAAGGACTTGACTTAGGTTTTTTTTTTTTCTTTTCAGGCAGATGTTGTTTACCATGTTGATTAGTATTAAAAGTGTTGACATATTACATTGGAATTTGCTTTAGAAGTGCAATATGTAAGTGATTACTGCAAACAATACCAAAGATAACCTAGACATTTGGGATACTGATTTAAAAGTGTTGTGAATGTCATCTCTGTATTTATTTACACAAAACACTTTCATGTGCTGAAACCTTTTTTCTTACATATTTAAGTCATCTGGTGGGTATGCTTTTTGATAACATTTGGTAAATTTTTACTTTAAAATTATTTATAAAGTTATTTAAAATGTTTCATTTAGTCATTTGTGTTGAGAAGATTCTTCATTCAATTATTCTCTGATTACAAAGCGTTCACTTTTATAGTTCTTACCTGACATTAGGCATTTACAATAATTATTACATTTGTCATGAGCAAACTTAAATCTTTGAATAAAATAGTACTAAGCACATAACTCAACATGTGCTCCAAAACTGCAGTGATTCTATAACTTGAAAATGTTTTAACAGAATTTTCCTAAACGTGTATAAATTTTCAGATAATGGTATTTATTTCGTAAACTAAAACAAGAGATGTTATTTTATCCTTTTGGTTCTCCTTGAAGCATGATGGAGATAGGTCAAGGCCCAATCCCTTCCACCCTCTACCTCCACAAAGGGGACAGATGTCCCATGAGAGGGAAATAGCTTCACTTGGAATTTAATTAGAGCAGAGACAAGACCGGCACACAAGAACTCTGACATCTGAGAGAAAAGTATTCCCACTTCTGTAGTGGCCTTTCAAAGCTTTGATTTTTCTAGCAGGACTTAGCTTCCATTTGTTCTGCTACTTACAAAATCATGAGACTGACATGACAAGCCAAAAGAGAGATGTGCGATGTCACACTTGCAAACAGAAGTTACGGAACCTGTGTTCAAGCAAATCATTAACATCATTGAGTTTATTTGGAAAGTTCTGAGTGGATTAAAAAGGCATTATAACAGGGGTACTGGTCTTGAGATGAACCCAGTTAAAGTTTTTTCCTTTTCTTTTTTGAGACAGGGTTTCACTCTGTTGCCCAGACTGGAATGCAGTGCCTTGATCTTGGCTCACGGCAACCTCCACCTCCTGGGTTCAAGTAATTCTCCTGCCTCAGCCTCCCAGGTAAGATATTACAAGCACTTGCTACCACGCCCTGCTAATTTTTGTGTATTTTAGTACGGACGGGCTTTCATCTTGTTGGGCAGGCTGGTGCTGCATTTCTGACCTTATGAATCTGCCTCGTTGGCCTCCCAAACTGCTAGGATTACAGGCATGAACCACCACACCTGGCCTGTTTTTCTTCATATTTAAGAAGCCCAGTACCAGGACAGATCTTTATAACAGATATTGAAAGGGTTTTCCTCTCAGCTATGTAGTTATCTGGTTTCTGGTTGGCTATCATCATTTTATTATAAGGTGTAACATTTTGATGGTTTTTGCCGTCCAGCCAAGTTGATTGGCTTCCTTAACTAGAATTGAGACATGTTTGAGGCTAGGGCTCCAGTTCTTTTTGAAGTGAGAGAGATTTATTTTATTCTAATCTGCAGTTTGTCAATTACACCCTACATCTGGCCCAATGGTCTAAACTTCCAGACCAAGACCTAGCTTTTACATTCCTTCAGATCTTTGTTAGCACAGGCATACTCTAGAGAAAGCTCTGCCATTTAGAGGCTATTTACACTTCGAGGTTATTATAATTATTCTTTGTCTAGGAGAAAGCTGACATCATTATCCTGGCTTCTTTCAGATCTGCAGGATCAGGATAGAGTGTATAAAACAAAAACTACCCAAGGAGTCCTTTAGCTGAGTGTTTGTTATTCATATCATCACTACTATGGGGTTGGGTGAGGAATCAAGCTAAAATAAAAATATTTGCATATAGACAAGTTATTTGACTTGTGACCAAATAGCCCTCACTGAGTGTTGCTACCATTCATTTCTGCCTCAGTGAGTGAATGCCATACTTGACTGCTTTGGTTTAATTCACCCCAACAATATTATCTGATTAGAATGCATATCAATTATGAAGTAAAAATTCAAATTTTAAAAAAGATGCTAAATTTAATGAAGTTTAGGAAAGTATTCTTAGAGACCTGCTAAAATCTCACCGAAGGTCACTGAGAAGAATGGTTCCAGAAAGCCTGGACCAGTTAACAAGAAAATGACCAAGGATAATGGCACAAAAGATACGTCAAACGAAATAATTTTGATATCCAAGGTTAAAGGCAAACACCAAGGAAACCTGCTAGGACCGCATTTCTATAAGTGCCCACATTTTTACCAAAGTGATGCAAACCTACTTTGTGATCATTCTGAAAAGATAAATAAGAGATAAAAGATATTTCATGCTAACATACAATGCTGTTTGAAAAATTAAGCTCCACATACCAAAACCAATTATTCCTTTATTTTTTGAGGTCTGAGGCATATTTAAGTTATAAATCAATGTTAGTTAAATTAAAAATGTATATTTTTCATTTTATTTCTTCATTTTGTTTTTCTTCATTTTATTTTTCCAATTAAGTTAACAGTTGAACATTTCTTCCCTATTTATGGTACATTTTTGGTGGTTGTTTTAAACAAACTTATTTTTGTGGTCATATTTTAGTGTCATTTATCCTCAGGTAGTAGGGCCCCTTAGGACAAAGTTGTGTTTTGTTTTTAGCAGTATAAATTATCTTTGAAAGACTATAGCATACATTGTTATTTATCAAAAATTAGACTGAAGGTAAGAATGCAAGACCTATAAAGGCAGGCACCCTTTGTGTCTCATTTACTGTATCATTCTATGGAGCTGTGTTGGTGCCTGGCACAAAGGAAATCTTGATAATCATCAGTGACTAATCGGTGTTTGTATAATCAATAAATGAGAAGTGGCAGGTTCTTTCTACAGCCAATACTTAAGAAATAGGAAATAAGTGATTCTATTAATAACACTAATTATGGTGAAAACAAAGCTAGTTAGACATTAAACACAATGGTTTAATGTGACTTATTCAAGTAAAGTAACCTCTAATATATGGAAATATTATTGCCATAAAAATCATCATCTAAAGTTGTAAAAATGTAATTACTTGATTACAGTAATTTTCACGTGAATCACTGCTGATAGAGAAAAAGTTATTGTCCATTTCCTAACTAATCATGTTTGCTTTAACCACTAAATATTACCAGGAGTCCTGAGTTGAATATAAAAATTGATCCTAGCTGCATACAACCTTCTCCTACATTCCTTTCTTCATCTAGGACCTCCACTCCCAAGTAATGGACTATGAAATGTCTAGATAAGTGGCAGTTAATTTAACAATTTTAAATGAGTGAAGAACATTTTAAATTCATGCTTTATCACAGTAGTTGGTGAAATTTTTAAACAAAGAACACGGTAGTAAATATTTTAGTCATTTCAGGACAAGAGGCAAAATTGCAGATATTAATAATATGTAGGTACTCATACTAAAAGAGAGAAAGAGAATTTTTACAAAATTCTCATGGACAAAATTCAAACTATAACAACAATTGAATCTTTTTTAAAAAATAAATGTCTACTAATGAGGAAACTAAAATTTTTTTGGGGGGGAAGGGCTTTTTTCTTAATTGAGCTTTGCCTGTAATGTTCCCTTTCACCAAAATCAATTGCAAATTTTCATCTATTAATGAAGACATGTAGTGATATTTTCTGTATTTCATCTTTAAAAATATGCAGATAAGTATTTTCAAATACGTTTAGCAGGTCACAACCATATTATTTTAATTGAGCATATTCATCACTTACAAGTCATTACAGAATTCTATTAGACACTTCTCCATAGTTGTCTTTTATTAGGTTAATACATTGCAGATTAATTACTTCCAATTGAAGCTTAAACTGGAAGCCCCTCAACTAAACAGTGAAAGGGAATTTGAAATAGGAGAATTTACTACGGATTTGTATCAATGTCCTAAAATACTGCTGAGTCTGTAGAATGCACTCAGAAAATATATCCACTGCAAATCTGCATGGGAATGAAGATTCCACTTCTTGTTTTAACTTCTGATACAACAAGAAGTTTATAAAGCAATTTGCTATTACTTGTGATTCAAACAGTAGTGGTCATCATCAAAATAACTTTACCACAACATAAGCTTTGTGTAGAAGTACTGTTTAATCTTGTAATTTCAGATTGAATTCAACAAGAAACATTGACAATTCTGCAGCAAAAGCTAATTTCCAAAAACACTGAGTGTTTACTGATAGTGTTTGAGGGCAGTTCTTATTCAGAAAAAATTTAATCTTAGCATTTATCTGAAAAAACGTTATAATAAAACCTTACCAGGAAGCCATCAAACAGCTATGTGATAAGAAACTCATTATATTCAGATTCTATTCTGACAAAATGTCACAGTAATGAACATGGTTAATTGATGA